GAGAGAGAGAGAGTGATTTCATGCAACGGTTATATGTATAGTAATATAATGAAACAATCTTCAAAAACTATGTTAGGGCCATTTGTTTGACCCAAAATTTTAAATATACACTCTTTTCATTTTAATGAACAATCACAAAAAAGAAAAATTTCAAAATACGACCTAGAAAGTATTTTCTTAGCCCAGTTAACATAGTCCGTCCATTTTGGTGAGATTCTTAGATTTAGGCCTTAGAAGGATCTTTTTCCTTTCCAAATTTTTTAGATAACTTTATTGTCATTAGATTAATAATGTTAAAAAGAAAAAATTGATTTGAATTCATAAAGGCCTAGATCTTGAAATTCACCAAATGGACAGTTTATATTATTGTTTGAAGGGATGCATTTTGACCATATATAGGGTGTAAAATAATTTTTTTTTTTTTTGGGATTGATTATTAAGATGAAGAGAGTGTATATACAAAATTTCGGGTCATACAAATACCTCTAACATAGTTTTCTAGAATTGTGGTTTCATTAGATTATATTGATATGGTGACATGATATCATTTCCCATATATATATATATATGGGGAGTGATTTAATGCAACGGTTGTATAGTAATATAGTAAAACAATATTCAAAAACTATGTTAGGGTTATTTGTTTGACCCTAATTTTTATATATACACTCTTTTCATTCTAATGAACAATCACTAAAAAGAAAAATTTGAAAACACAACCCAGAAAGTGTTTTTTTAGCCCAATTAATATTGGCCGTCCATTTTGGTGAGATGCTTAGATTTAGGCCTTAGAAGGATTTTTTTTCTTTTCAAATTTTTTAGATAACTTGATTATCATTAGTTTAACAATGTCAAAAAAGAAAAAATTGATTTTGAATTCATAAAGGCCTAGATCTTGAAAGTCACCAAATAGACGGTCTAGATTCATTGTTGGAGAGGACTCATTTTGATTATACATGGGGTAAAAACTACAATTTTTTTTTTTTTGAGATTGAGTATCGAGATGAAGGGAGTGTGTGTGCAAAATTTTGGGTAATACAAATACCACAAACATGGTTTTCTAGAAGTGTGGTTTCATTATATTATAACGGCAGGGTGACACGATATCATTTCCCTATATATATATATATATATATATATATATATATATATA